CACAAAAACAATGTCGTGAATCGATGTAAACGTAGTTCAGACTGCAGTAGGTCGTTGGAGAGAAGTGTTCTCAGCTGTTTTTCACTTTAAGAGCAAAGTAAGAGATTAATGTTGAGTGACTGTCAGGATTTCATCACATACACCGCCGGAGCAGGTTTATTATGTCTTTGTTATCAGTCTGATAAAGAAATCACACCACAGGATCCCATTTGCACCGAAGCCCATCAGACCCCCTGCTGTCACACATCATTAATCACGAGCTCGGGCCTAACAGCGTCTCATTAAGCTTTTCTGTTCTTGATAACAACAAAATCTGGCCATGGAAAATGTGACGTATACTACTATCCTATCTGTGATATAGATGATACTCAAAGTCTTCACAATTTCATGTTGGAACATAATTCTGAAATTGTTCTAAAATTTGTGGACTTTTTAGCAGATTGGTGAAAATCTGCCCATTTTTGCTGATGCGATGTCAGGTAACCTAATTAGTTGCTAAATGTTCGTCCAGCTGTTTCTTTTGTGCTGCTTGTTTTTCTCCATCCAAACGTTTTTGAGACACGACGCTGTCAGACTGCAGCGTGTTGTGCGCTCTGCTGAGAAGGTGATTGGCTGCAGACTCCCATCTCTGCAGGACCTGTATGTCTCCAGGACACTGGGGCGTGCAGCTCGGATCTCAGCTGACCCTTCTCACCCTGGACACAGTCTGTTTGACCTGCTCCCCTCAGGCAGGAGGCTCTGGTCCATTCGCAGCAGAACCTCTCGCCATAAGAACAGTTTCTTCCCCTCTGCTGTCGGACTCATGAACAATAACCGTATGACTGTTCCCACCACATGACACATAACACATGACCCTACGGTGTGTTCACTGCATCATTCCATGTTTGCACTGATCACCACCTGCACTCATGTATATATCTATCTACTTAGCACTTTTAATTCTTATTTTTTATGTCTATTTAAGCGTTATATGACAGTATGTTTGCACTAAGTACAGCAGCAATTTCCTAATGTTGTAAACCTGCTCAACATTTGGCAATAAAACCCTTTCT